GGTTTTCAACCTTTTTTAAGGAGGGTACCTCTTCTGGTATACACTGAGATGCAGAGTCAGGAAGGGGGGTGGGGGGCAGAGCTTGCACATGGTGGTGGTGGTGGTGTGCGGCAGTGGGTGCTGGCGGTGGTTGCACATCACATGGCCAGTTGCACATGTGACTCTTTAGGCTGCTGAGGGGCCTCACACCTGACCAATCGCATGTTGCCTGTCAGCAACTGAATGCGTGACCAGCCATGGGGAAGCGGCATGCTGCAGTGCGGAGTGGTTGATAGTGGCAGCAACCGCTGTGTGCGAGCTCTACCCTCCCATATCTGGCTGGCTGGGCAGCACCTGTATGGCCCTCACAGGGAGGGTGAGCTGCCCTCACCCTCTGCGGCCCTGCTTCTGGGACGCAGCACTGTGGGGTGGTGGGTGGTGGCACTCCATCCCTGCCTGCCCATGTGTACCTCCTTGCACCTTTCCAAGTACCCCTGGGGGTACAATACCTCCGGTCGACAACTCCTGCCTTAGCCCTGCTGCCTCCCAGAGGCCCATATCCAGAATGTTGCTGAGAGGATCCAAAAATGTATCTGGCTTTCTGACCACTATCCCATGCTCCTTCTCCATGTGGGCATGAATGACATGGCAGGGAGCAATCTACTTATGAATGACTACAGGACTTTGGGAGCGGGGCTCAGAGGGTTGAGGGCACAGGTAGCTTTCTCCTCAATCCTTCCGGTTATGAATTATGGGCATATGAGGGAGAGATGAATTGAGGAAGTAAACAGAAGACTGAGGCACTGGTGCTGTTGTGAAGGCTTCAGAGGATCCACGCTTCAGAGAGAGAGGCAGCAGTTTCCTAGGAAGGGTTGGCCTCCACCTCACTCCAATGGGGAAGAAGCTCTTCTTGGCCAAAATGGCTGACCTGCTCAACCAGGCTTTAAACTATGTTCACCGGGGGATGGGTGGATAACCAGCAGTGTAAGCCCACCAAGCATCAACCATAAGATCAGCAGGTTAGACTGCACAAAGCATCCTCCTAGTCCAGGGATTGGACACTTTTAGGAGTGCAGAGCAGCCTCAGGCTTCAAATGGCAGGATCACTTGCCTGTATACAAATGCCAGGAGCCTGGGTAACAAACAGGAGGAACTGGCCCTTCTGCTAAGCAGAAATGACTACGACAAAATAGGGATAATGGAGACCTGCTGGGACTCCACCTATGACTGGACCACAGATATAGATGGTTATACCTTGTACAGGATGGATCATGTTGCAAGAAAGGGTGGGGGTGTAGCTCTGTATGTGAAGGAGCAGTACACTTCCCTTCAACTGGAGATTGGTACCCAAGGATGGTGACTTGAGACCCTCTGGGTTAGAATATGGGGGGAACATGGTGAAGGGGATATAACAGTAGGAGTCTACTACAGACTTTCTAATCATGAGCAAGAGCTTGACCATGAATTCACTAGGGAACTGCCAGAGGCTGCACACTCTTGGCGCATGGTTGTCTTGGGTGACTATGCTGACATCTCAAGGGAAGAGTATTCAGCCAAATCTGATTGGTTGCAAAGCTTCCTGACATGCATTGATGAGCTCTACTTGTCTCAAGAAGTCTATGGGCTGACAAGCGGTAAGGCACTGCTAGACCTGGTACCGGCCATAGGGGATGATGTTGTAAGTGACCTGAGAATCCAAGGGAAGCTGGGAGACAGTGACCATGAGATGATCACTTTCTCTATCCATCGCAAAGCTGACTTTAGGAAAGCTAACTTTCATAAGCTTAGGAGGCTAGTTGTTGAGGCTCTGAGAGGCCATGATCTGGCAGGGAGGGGAGTCCATGATGAGTAGTTGCTCCTTATAGATAAGATTCTTGAAGCACAGGGGAAATCCATTCCAGCCCATGGGAAAGGTAGCAAAAGGGCTGGCCGACCCCCTTGGCTCAACAGGGAATTCATGGACCTCCTCTCCTTAAAAAGAGAAGCTTATAAAGGATGGAAGTCAGGAAACACCACTAAGGAGGAGGATTCAGCACTGGCCCACACCTGTAGGGAGTGAACTAGGAAAGCCAAGGCTAAAACTGAACTCAAACTGGCTACAGGAATCAAAGACAATAAAAAGTCTTTAAGATATGTGATGTTAGAAAAAAAAACAACCAAGGACAACGTTAGACCCTTGCCAAATGAGGCAGCTGGTAACCAACACCCAGGAAAAAGCCAATCTCCTTAATAACTACTTTTCTTCAGTCTTCCACAAGCCCATGGGGATCACCTTGCCTGACAAGATGCAGATCTACCAGGGTAAGCGTGAACATGCACTCATCATTGGTGTAGATCTGGTGAGGGAACACCTTGAGAGGCTGGACACCCACAAATCAGCTGGCCCAGATGGAATGCACCCAAGAGTGCTAAAGGAACTGGCTGACATCATAGCACAGCCATTGGTGAGGATATTTGAAAACTCGTGGCGCTCAGGCAAGGTACCTGAAGATTGGAAGAGGTCCAATGTAGTACCTAACTTCAATAAAGGGAGGAAGGAAGATCTAGGGAACAACAGGTCAATCAGTCTGACCTCAATCCTTGGAAATATCTTGGAAAAAATTATCAAAGAAACCATTACCAACAGGCTAACAGAAGGCAACGTTCTAAGAAAGAGCTGACATGGCTTCACTGAGGGTAGGTCTTGCCTGACCAATCTCATTTCCTTCTATGACCAGGTGACATAACCTGGACAAAGGAGAAAAGGTGATAAGCATATATTTGGACTTCAAAAAAGCCTTTGACCTGGCGTCCCATGATGTCCTCATTGTAAAATTGAGGAACTACAGCATCAACAACCTTACAGTCCAATGGCTGGGAAACTGGATCCATGGTTAGACCCAGAGAGTAATAGCTGATGGAACCAAATCAACATGGCACATGGTGACCAGTGACGTCCCCCAGGCTTCCATTTTCAGACCTGTACATTTTAACATAATTATAAATGATCTGGATGCTAGTGCCAGAAGCAGACTGGCTAAATTCACTGACGACACCAAACTATGGGGAAGTGCGGTCACACTAGAGGATAGGCTGGGGATCCAAGCCAACCTTGATAGGCTCGCAAGGTGGGTGGATAAAAACCTGATGGCATTCAACACAGAGAAATGCAAGGTGCTCCACCTTGGGATAAAAAATCTGCATCATACTTATAGGCTCAGCAATGTTACACTTGCTAGCACAATGACCGAAAGAGATTTGGGGGTTATGATTGACCACAGATGAACATGAGCCACCAATGTGATGCCACAGCTGGCAAAGCAAATAAAACTCTGGCTTGCATCTACCAATACATCTCAAGCAAGACCCAAAACCCAAAAGTCATCCTCCAGCTTTACTCGGCCTTGGTGAGGCTGCAGCTGGAGCAATGTGTCCAATTCTGGAATCCGTAGTTTTGAAAGGATGTGGAGAAGCTTGAGAGAGTCCAGAGGAGAGCTACACACATGATCAGAGGACAAGAGAGCAGGCTTTATGAGGAGAGGCTGAGGGACTCTTCAGCCCGGAAAAGCGTAGGCCCAGGGGTGACTTGGTGGCAGCTTATAAGTACATAAGGGGTGTGCATCAGGAACTGGGAGAACATCCGTTCACCAGGGATTTGATTTGACCCCAGCTGACTTCCTGCCCCTTGGGCAGGGGACTGGGCCTGATAGTCTTGTGAGATCTCTTTCCACCCTAATGCCTATGAAATCTATGAAGTGTCAAGTTAAACCCCTGCAAGTTTTGCTATAGTACTTCATATCTTAAATGATTGCATTGAGCAAAATAATAAAGCAATTGCAAAATATTATGGCGTGCAATTGAAATATGCTTAGGTTACCTTTCAAAAATTCAAGCTGCCTGAAGCATATATATATATATATATAAAGCATATATCTATCTATCTATAGATAGATAGATAGATAGATATGAAATATGGACCTCTCCTGCTTCTCTTCCCTAAATATTATTATTATATTTAAAGATAGTGTATTTATGTCAGTCATTTAAAATGTAAAGTACCCTTGCAGCCTGCAAAACACAGTTAAACTCTGTTTATCCAGTTATCAATCATAGCAATGCTGACAAATGTAACCTTTAATTTCATTTTTACTGCAAATAGCCAAGATTGGTTCAATGGTCCAGGAACCCATGGCATGAAAAAGTGAAACCATAGCACTGAATGGTATTATAGCATGTAAACGACTGTTGGAACCAATGACCAGATTGTGCTTGCACTAGCTGTCCTTTGTAAAAGGAGGTACCATTCCAAGAGCAAACTAGGAAGGGAATAGTGCATTGGTGCTATAATATGTTGTACGAGTAGAGAAAAAATGCATTTTTTTCACATAAAATCTAAGATTAAGAGAACTTTTACTGAATAACTGAAGACAAACTTGCTGGGTTTTTTCTAAGCCCAAGTATTTCATATGCTTTTGCATTTTCTAGTATAGACTGGGACACAGTATTTATAACTTGGCTGAGTCTGCAACATACTGGGACATTTGTGACGTATTACCACAAGATTGCAATCTAAATTTCTTTTCCCCAAAGGGCTTATATATTAATGAGAGATGAGAGGATTCTATTTGAACCTCTCTGTATCCTTGAAACTTTAATTTAAGTCCTGCAACAGAAATGCAGAGAAAACTAATTTCAGGACTTAATTCAAATTAAGTGAATTATTTAAATGTTTAAACATTTTAAATGTTTTATTTTAACTTAAGAAAGTCATACCCCTATAACTTGGAGTTGGTTCTGTGCTCACTCCAATGCTATATACAGCCTACATGCTCCAGCTACCCTTTCTGAGGGAACCTGCTTGCGTATAGTCAACGCTTTTGGACTCAAGAGAATTCATTGACAGATCTTTATTGAGGTAGATTAGGTTGCAGGACCCCTCAGCATTAAGTCCAGGTTTAAAAATACAGCAATTTCATTTGGAGCACTAAGACTCTTTAGACCAGTCAGTTTTAAAGTATTCTTTTTTTTTGCCCTGTTTCTAGGCAGCTCTTGAGAGGGAGCCTCTCAAAGAAAGGGACCAGCAAAGTGGAAGCAGCCAAACAAACAACTTTTAAATCGACGACCCTATGCAGAACCCCTTTGGTCTAAGTGAAATCTGTATTTTGTGATACGCTGCTGCATCCAATCCTTTCAAAAAAGTCTTCCAAAATCAGCTCTCACTTAATGTACAAATCTCTCGGGAGAACTTCCAAACAGGAGGATCAGCTGGAGGTAACAGCCGAACACGAATAGGCATCTGTAAACAAACTGGTGTAGTAAACAATACTTTTAACTAACCTCCTCCTAGGCATGAAATTTTGGAGGGCCCTTTTTAGTTTAAATTACAGGGAGAGAACTGGCTTGCCAAACAGGATTGTATAGACTCTGATAGCTGTAACCATTACTAAACCAGAAATAATATTGAATGTGGTGCAAGTACATCCTAGTGCCCAATGGATATTTGTTCACATTGCACAGTCTGGCTCAGTTCAACATGCTTGGCAGCCTCTATCCAAAAGAAAGGCCAAGAACTGGAATAGCAGAAGGGCTACAGGTCAAGATTGTGAGTCATTGGCAGACCTGTGTGAGGAAGCTTGCACAGCGCTTGTCTGCATTATGCTTGGGTCCAGCTAGAGCTGTCAGTCCTTTATTTCCATGGGCACTAAATGCATCCCAAAAGTAAAATATGTATTTGTGTGACTGTCTGTGCTGCATGCAGTGAAATAAGCATGTGACACTTACCAAGAATTTAAATGCCAGAGTCAGATAGCCTTACTCACAGTGAATCTGACCTTAATTAAGTCAATAGACCACTTCTGAATAAAGATGTGAATTATGCTGGATATTCAGTAGATATTCACTTTTTTGTTAATGTGTATCATGGTGGTTGGCATTGTGTTTCTGAAAATCCTTTGTGTCCAGAGAAATTTGAATAGAGTGCAACATACAAATTAATGCATAAATATAATATATCTTTATTTTGTGACAATATTAGCCATACAGAAATGAATCTCTGCATCTTATAGTACTGAAGGAATGCATACTTTCACTAAAAGTACTGGAATGCATACTTTCACTGAAAGCCGGAAAGATGTATCTGGAATTACCCACTGTCTCTGAAGATTTGCTGAAAAAATTAATATCCGTACACAGTCAATACTGGGTTGCTAATGTAACTGGGTGCACAAATGTGTGCTGCCAGATGCATGTACCATTAGGTATCATTTTGTGACTACTATGGTCTTAGAAAAAACTGAATCTCTTACAAATGCACACAATTGTGCCTTTTGCACGCATATTAATGCATCAAAATGACTGGTCCTTGTTATTTTACATACTGAAACTAAAATATCTGACCAAACAAAGCTGGATTCTTAGCATTTATCAGTAAAAAGAAGAGATTTATATTGTGATTGACTGACAACCTTTTTATTTTGTATAATATGTCCTATTGAGTTCTATTGAAAAGTTCAGTATGGCATTTATTCACATTTAATTAGCACCTCTCGGGATTAATACCTCATTTTATCAAGCTAATGCAACCTTAATATAAAAAGATGTAAATTCAATATGATAACAACATGTACCTGGCTGTTTTAATTAATCTGTCTAAACTGAACATGCTGCTTCAAATTTATAAAGATCAAGCTTTAAACTACCTCTGGAATTCTCATTATATTAATTGGATGCTGTGCTCTTTTTGTTGTTCAGTGTATGTAATAGGCACTATGACCCCCATTGACCCTAGTGGGCATGCATTGTAAGGGAATAATCCATGCTTTAGCACATTTTTGTAGTAAATAATACATCAGGATTGCATATGACCCATAATTCCATTGAGTTTGATGGAGTTAAACCAAGGATGGATAAAAGCCTACTTCTTATTTTGTCTATGGCTTTTGTCTCCCTTTAGATTTGTGTAATTTACAGTGGAACTTTTTTTATAGGTCAAAAAACTGCCAAAGATGACTGTTGATAGAACTATTTTCACCTTGAGCTTTGGATATTCAGGACTGTTAAAAACACTTGAGGTATTTTCTTCATATAACATTCAAAACTCTTCATATTATACTTTTATACCTTTTATGAACCAACCTTTGTGTAAAGAAGTTCTTCCACCTATTCATTTCTTTATTGCCTGCTTCTTTATTTACTTATATCTGTGCCCTTTTATTCAGGTAATTTCAATAGACTATATAGCTTTGAATCCTCTATACATTCTAGTCTCCAGAATATTTATTTGTACTTATGGCCCCTTATTCAGATAATTTCAATAGATGAAATAGTCTTGTAGCCCCTATGATCTTTATTTTCTATAGTTACACTATCTTTATGTGTCAAAACACTTTGTTCACTGCAGAATACAGGATGAATTTCTCCTATCCTTTTCAATAATTGATATCCTTGAGGCCCAGTGCCAGTCTGCTTGTCCTTATGTTTGTGCCACGCTTTTTTAAAATAAGACAAGTAACATGATTTGCATAGAATGTAATCTCCAATGTCCACAGGATCTTTGCACAGTGGCAAACACAATATGGCTCCAGGTTCACTATAGACAGATGCTATACAAAGTGCCCATAGTTCATAACATAACATAACTATGTGGACAAGTCAGTGCAGGACCACAAAGTAGATTCCTTTATAATGTGCAATCTTAGCTCCTGTGATTGTCTATTTATTTATATTAGTATGATTTTATTCCTATTTAGAATTTTAGTGTATAGCGGTGTGAAGTTTTAGTCACAGTGAGGTCTGCAAACTAAAAGATCTGCCTTTCTATTTTTGTGCACCAAATGTCCATCATCTGATCTCAATTTAATTGACTCAGTCTGGATTAGATGGGCCTTTGTCACCTTTGTGTCATAAGAAAATTTAATCGGTTCATTGTATATTCATTCTTCCAGGTCACAGGTAAATAAAATTAATAGGAGCTTCCCAAGCACTGAACTTTATGGCACTTTGTCGGTGACCTTTCTCTGTTCTGGTACAGATGTTTGGGGAGGTTATATTGCATTAAAAAGGGCAACTCTATCTAGCTTAGTTTGTTCAGGTGCAGACCTTACAAATAGATTCCTAATTAGGTCAATCTAAGTGTGAATTATACAGAAGTTCCAGAAGGTTAGATTGGTCTAAAAATGACAAACCCAATCTAATTTAACCCTACCTCAGAGTCAGATCTGGCAAGACTGATCTAACTGATTAGAGTCCAAAGGAGGGCCACATGCATGATTAGAGGTCTGGAGAGCAGGTCATACGAGGAGAGACTGAAGGACATGGGACTGTTCAGCCTGGAGAAAAGAAAACTTAGAGGGGACTTGGTGGCAGCTTATAAGTATATAAGGGGCATACATCGGGGCCTGGGGGAGCATCTATTCACCAAGGAACTCCAGGGGAAGACAAGAAACAATGCACGCAAACTGCTTGAAGATTGCTTCAGATTGGACATAAGGAGAAACTTCTTCATGATTTGAGACCTAGGGTCTGGAACAAATTCCCCCCAGAGGTGGTACAATCACCTAACCTGGATATCTTAAAAAAATGATTTAACATGCACCTTCCTGGGGTCATATGCCCCTGGCAGTCTTTCCTGCCCAAGTGCAAGGGTGCTGGACCTGATGATCTCATGAGGTCCCTTCTAGCCCCTAACAAGCCTGTCATGCCTCCACACCCCGAAGACCCCCAGTAACCCTCAGCAACCATGACAGACCCCCATCTAACCCACAGCAGAGCCAGAGGTAAGCGGGGCTCATGGTGGGAGGGGAGTAGCATAGCTGCGGGGAAGCAACTGAGAGGAGCTGAGGATGGTCTCGCCCTGCCCCGGCTCCTACTTCGCCCAGCCCCCCAGGGCGCCATGTGACTGGAGCAGCATGAACAGGCTGCACAAACAGGCATGCTTCTCAGTCCAGTGTGCAAGTTAGTGTGGGAGTTTGCCAGGAGGGCGAGCAGTAGGGCACGGGGCTCCAGGCACTGAGCTGTAGCCAAGGGTCTGCACAGTAGTAGCCAGACTACTACAAGGACCATGGTGGGTGGGACATGTTGCACCCTGTGGCTCCTCCCTGCACCTGGACTCTCCTGCTCTGACACCACCGTGGTCTCCACCCGAATAGAACCCATTGTTATGGCCTCTACCCAAATGGCACCTGCAGCCCCTGCCCCCAACCTGGGCAGAACCCATGGCCCTGGCCTCATGTGGAGGCTGTCCAGCAAGAATGTAGGCAACTGGGTTTGAGGGCACTGATACCTCCCCTTGTGGGGTGTGCCCAATGATGGAGGCCCTGGAGTGCCAGATTAGGGAACTCCAGGCAACAGTTCATCAGCTGCGCTCCATTAAAGATGCAGAGCAGGAACTGGACTCTTACTTTCAGGCTCCCCACCTGATGGCTGATGACAGTGTGGCGGAACCAAGGAGCCACCACAAAATCCAGCCTGGAGTTGCCTGGACAACAGTTGTCTCTGGTTCAAAGAGTCACAACACCAGGGTTACCACTTCCCTGGAGCTGCACAACCACTTTGCACCTCTTACATCAACTGAGCCAGCCATTCCACCAGTTCCAGCATGTGAGGATGGAGAGCCACCAACACCTACTCGTAGAAGAAGATGCAGAGTTATTATGGTGGGTGACTCCCTCCATAGGGGCACAGAGGGAGTGATTTGTCACCCTGACCCCCTAGCCCATGAGGTCTGCTGCCTGCCTGGAGCTCACATCCAGGATGTAATGGAGAGGATCCCCAAACTTATTCGGCCCTCTGACCACCGTCCCATGTTACTCATTCATGTGGGCACAAATCATATGGCATGGAGCAATCTGGGCCAGGTCACGCATGACTACAGGGCTCTGGGGGCTGGGCTCAAGGGTCTGGCACAGATAGTTTTTTCTTCAATCCTCCCAGTAACAGGACATGTCTCCGGAGGGAAAGGTGTATTGGTGAGGTGAATAGACGACTCTGGTGATGGTGTCATTGTGAGAGGTCTGACTTCCTCGACCACGGTCCACACTTCAGAGAATGGACTGTTGGGAAGGGATGGCCTCCACCTCATCTGGAAAGGAAAGAAGCTCTTGGCCAGAATGAATGACGTTCTTGACAGAGCTTTAAGCTAAGACCGCTGGGGGACCTGCAGTCTATTAACAGTTCTAGCCCAGGTCATGCGAGCTGCATTACCAATAACTTGGGCAGCCTAAGGGAATCTGCTCTGGTGATAGCCCAAGGAAGGATCTTGCTTTACCACATAGGGA